CYTTTTTGTTTTCAGAGCTTTTTAAGACTCCAAAATATAGAGAAACCAGACAATTTCTGCCAACAATCTGTCCACTCTGAATCAGGGCCTTATATATCMCTGTCCTCCTCAGGACACTTGTGTCCCTGTCTCAGACTATCATATAACCCGGAGGTCTGTGTGTCCATGTTCCACCGCCTACAGTAAGGTCTGGATCGCMGCGCTCCATCCTAACACTGATGCTCTATGATTATGGCTAACCAGGCAGTTTCCTGCCTGCATGTGCCAGCCTATATATAAACACCAACACGGCTCCTTTCAGACATCGGCTAAAGCCACAAACACTTTTCCCTCCCAGCAACACTTGGCCGTGTCTCGCCTCTGCTGCGGTCCAACTGTTCAGMTGCTGTGGAGCTTATTAACTGCAGGGAGATGTTTATCTGTGCGAGGGCTTACTGGACAAATCCGAAGCGGTCAATGACTTTGTACAGGTGGAAGTTGGTGTCCTCCCAGGGCTCAACGGTGGCCTCTTTTCCCTGGAAAAAAAGAAGAAAAGAGAAACTGAAAACAGTTCTGTGTGATTGAGTGGTTTCAAATTAAATCAAAACATCAGCAATGCTAGTAGTTAACGGTTTTAGCCCCCAACAAAAGAGAATTGTTTTAGCACCTCGTCACTTGTTATCACAAAACTGAAATAGTATTTTAAAGCCCTTACAGCTCTGATCAACTACACTTTTTAACTCCAAACTTGAGGACCAATTCATATTTTTCTTTTTTTGTAAACGTCCTTTTCTGTGGATAATTATTCAGCTGACCTGAAGGTCAATCACTGATTAGAACACTGTCTAYAATACTTTATTCAAGTCATTCATCTATCAAAAACATACCCAGAGTGCTGCTTTGACTCAATCATGCATGTTTGAGAAATCCTTGAATCCCCTGTGTAAGCCATGTGGAGCTGCCTAAAACACCTGCTGATACAAAGATCCACCTATTTACACAAAGCTCCTCCCCTGCCAAGCTCCTGCCCCACACAGAGCACCTCTACTCAAAATCATTGTTGGCTATGATGCAAAGTCAAATTTATTTTTGATATGAACAGCATTTTTATAACAAATGAATGTAACATAGTTACTTAACTCAGGTGTCACCGGAAAATACAAAATAATTTTGATAAATATTAAAGTATCCATGCTTATGGCACTAGGTGGCCAGAACCTCTACATCAACATATTTAAAACACAGAGAAAGAACACGACTAAGGGTGTATTCAGACCAGGAAAGTCCTTTGGTCCAATTGTTTGGTCCGGACCAAAAATGGACTTTTTTTTTTCGTTTGGTGCAGTTTGCATTCACATTGTGCTTTTTTGCAAATGAACTATAACTTGTAAACAAAGCCATCAGGCTCACGATCATTGCTCCCACTGGACAAAAAAGAACGGGGGCGGGACTGAGCCACAGATCCAGAAGAAAACAAGGAAGTCCTGCATGCTGCGGTTCTGATGCGCACATTTTTGCTGATAGCACAACTGCAATAGCATTTAAAATGTCAGAAGCAGCTAATTTAATGGTGGTTTCGTGATGATATTCTAATTTTGGAGCGACGTCAGTTAATGTGTCCCGCAACCCAAAGGAGAAGAGATGCTCTGCGTGTTCTGACCCACAACAAGGAGACGATGAAACAGGTATGATTTCAGTTTATTTAGCTCAGCAACGGTGGCCTGTGAAGACCAAAAAGGTGCATGTTTAATGCAGTTGGTTCAGTTAGAGTCTGGTCTGTATTCACGCCAGAAGAGAACTGAAGAGAACCGCACCAGAGTTCGTTTGGAAGCAGACTGAGACCACCTCAAAA